AAAAAACTTGTTTATCTTAGATATTCAACAACAATTTCATCACGATATCATGGTAGAAATCGACCTCGTGGCAGACAACATGAATTACCATTAGGACTTGACCAAGTAGTGTTCTCTATTCGTTTCTTCGAATTTTTTTATTTAATAAATTTAGGCATTATCATCCAGCAGTCTAAATTCAGATTCAACAATGGCATTAGATACTTTTACGGTAACACTTCATTTAAGTATGTATTTGTTTTATCATTCATTGTGTAAATTAACAGAATGTTTTTATCAGACGCAAATAACTATTTGGGTATTAGTATTGTTGGTCAAACCGATAAAACAGGTTTAACTGATGGAGGAATTTATGTTAGTTCCATAACGAAAGGGTAAAACTCTATGAAACTAAAAGTACATAAAATAAATCTTGGTGTTTCAGAGGTGTAGTTGCAGAAGATGGTCGTATTGAGCCAGGCGATATGATTCTTCAAGTAAATGATATTAGTTTTGAAAAATTATCAAATGATGATGCTGCTGAAATTCTACGTGAAGCTTGCAAAACACCTGGGTATATCTAATTAACTAGTCTTCAATATTCTCCAAGAGATTGTTCGGAGATCACGTGATCGGATAGGGATAAGGGCAAGGGGGAAAAAGCGAGTCTTCATACTTCACGTACTTCACTGTACTTCACTGTACTTCACTTGTACTTCACCGTACTTCACTTGTACTTCACTTGTACTTCACTTGTACTTCACTGTACTTCACTCGTACTTCACCGTACTTCACTTGTACTTCACTTGTACTTCACTGTACTTCACTTGTACTTCACTCGTACTTCAGAAGTACGAAGTCTCGCTTTTTCCCCCTTGGGTACGGGTCCCGAAAAATCGCGGGAGGAGGTCAAGTCGACTGACCACGTGATCAGCGCTGGAAAAATTTCTTTGATGTAGGTTTTCCGAAATTTTGCACATTCCTGAGGGAAAGTAGAGGACCTTCGAGAAGCTACTCCCTCCTCCCGGTAATCAGTTTTTAGAAAAATTGGGAAGTTTGCAGTAATCGAAATTTCCTGTGGGGGAGTACAGGTACTTTCGCAAAGCTACCCCTCGTGGGAGGCCATCACTCTTTTACGTAGAAGCGGGAAATTTGTAGAAGTTGTCTGGAAGGATTTTTTTATTGTAGGGGGAATGTGTTTTTCTTTTTCAAATAGATTAATTAAATTAGTTGCAGCTAAATGTTGGGATTCAACTCCACGAGATTATTTTACATTACCTTGTCATGAACAAGCACGTCCTGTTGATCCATCATCATGTCATGCACATACACAAGCTGTACAAAATACATATGATAATTCTCAACAACAAATCTTACCTCATAATCGACAATCATTACTTAATTCAAAAGCAAATATGAGTTCAACCATATCAAGTACAAATAATACAATGGTTAATAATGAACGTATGTCGTTTGATTTTGTAAAGAAAAAGAATTTTTCTCTACGTGTTTATTTTAGGTTTTAGTCTTGATCTTACTTATATGATTGGTTCTGATATGGATACTTTTGTACGACCTATGGCTAAACCTGCTTCAGGTTTAGATATACTAGACAGAATATGGTTTAAAATATCAATACCAAAATCATTTCTTGATATGAAAGAAAAAAAAATTATTTTTAAAAATAATTCATTTTTATGAATATTATTTTAGGTTCTGATTTAGTTACTTGGTTATTTAAAAATGTCGATGGATTTCTTGTTCGAGATGATGCAAGATTCTATGCCTCAAAAATGCTTAAAATAGGTTATATTAGACATCCGTTTCATAAATTACAATTTGGTGAAAAGAGTTATTATGTTTTTCGTAATATTTATTCACAAAGTAGATAACATCTTTTTCTTTTCGAAAGATTTTATTTATTTATTTACTTATAATTTTTATTTAGATATTTCTCGATTAAAACTTCATGAAAAATCTAAGGATTATGAATCTATTTCTGCTCGATCAAGTATTATTGATGGTCATAGTTAGTGGGGGAGCCAGGATTTTGAGCTGGGGGGGGGGGGGGGGAGCACCCCCCCTGGGGGGTCTTTGCGCCCCGTGGCAAAAAAAAAACATGGGTTAAAAAATTTCCTGGAAGGGGCTCAAAAGTTTCTGGGGGGGAGGGCTCAGCCCCCCCCCCCCAGCTCCACCCTGGCTCCGCCACTAGTCATAGTGGTAATTCATCATTAACAACAAGACAAGATACTATTACAACATTTGGTTTTGATGATAAAAATAATGCTCCAGTTCAATCACCTTCGGAATCTTTATTAATTGATAGTGATAATTCAAGTAAGATTATAATTAGAAAATAAATAAAATAATTCTCCATTAGAAATTCAATTCTTATTTGCATGAGTGTACTTTTTATCAAGACTTTTATTTAAAAAAACTTTTCACATATGATCTTTAATTACATTTACAGGGTGGTCCAAAAGTCATCGGGCAGTCTTTGATTGTGAATAATTTTGGATAGGAATCTGATAGAGACCTTCGGTTTTCATCGTTGGAAAGAGAAGATGAAGGCACATCGAGTTATATGTTACAAATTTTTCTAGCAAGGCTTATGAAATTTTTTCTATTCAGGTTTCTGAAAATTGGCATTCGCATGCGATCGCCAAAGTGGCTATTTAATTTTTGCTAATGTATTAAAGCTACTGATTGAAGATCCACAAAGTAGCGCAAAGCTTACATTTTGAGCTTTAGTCGGTCAGGAATTATTAACATCTACTGATAGACTTCGGGCAATTTTTGAAATATTCAGATCCTCTATTTTTTACTTTTTGATAAGAATCCACTTTCGTGACCGTACGCGATATGTCGGTTTTCAAGAATCACAATAGAAATAAAACCTTGTAAAACTTGCCAGAAAAATCTGTAATATATGATTGGATGCGCCTTCATCTTCTCTTTCTATTGGTGAAAACCCGCAAGTCTCTATCATGTTCCTATCGAAAGTTATTCACAATTAAAGACTGTCCGGTAGAGTCCGTCGGGTAGGACCTGAACCCGAGCGGATCCGAGTCGGGTCCGTGTCTAACATTTTCTAAACAAGCGGGTCCAGGTCCGGGTAGAAAAAACTTTGAATAATCGTGTCCAGGTCGAGTTTCAGATCCAAAAATCTTGGACCTGACGGGCTCTACTGTCCGGTGACTTTTGGACTACCTTGTATATTATTTTTATTAAATTTTCCTTTAACTGATGCTAAGATTACATCTAATAACCCATAAAAATAGTTTATACTATATGAATCTTTGACATATACTGTGTTTGATACTGTATCACCAGCATCTAAACCTGAGGGTGTGGGTGTGGGTGTGGGTGAGTGTGGGTGTGGGTGGGTGTGGGCGAGTGTGGGGTGTGGGTGTGGGTGTGGGTGTGGGTGGGTATGGGTGTGGGTGTGGGTGGGTGTGGGTGTGGGTGTGGGTGGGTGTGGGTGAGTGTGGGGTGTGGGTGTGGGTGAGTGTTGGGTGTGGGTGTGGGTGTGAGTGTGGGGTGTGAGTGTGGGGTGTGAGTGTGGATATTCTGAAAAAAATTCACCCACACGCACATCCACATCCACAGCCACCC